GAACCTTGATATGAAGCTTCTTCAGTTTGGGTAAATCTGAGAAAGGCCTATCCCTTTGTTCAGAGCTGTTATGTGGCAGGCTAGAGACAACATTTAAGATCAGAGTGCTTAAGTTTGGCAGCCCACTGAAATGCTCATAAAAATAAATATCACCTTGCATAAGAAGGAACTGGAGGTTATAGAGTCCCTTTAACCCTCCTTCCTCAACATTGTTACACATGCGTACATCTAAATTCAAATAACGAAGGGAAGACAGATTACTGAAGACTCCTTGAAAGAGATTTATCAGCTCATTGTTTTTCAAATACAAAAAGTCCAGTGTCTGTAATTTAAATTTAAAAGAATAATTGAATGATGAAATCTTGTTGTTTTCAAGATTTAGGATTTTCAAATTGTTTAAATTTTCAAAAACACACTCAGAGACATAGGATATATGATTGTGGCTCAGATCGAGTATTGTTAGGTTTGTTAAATTCCAGAAGTAAGGACAGTAAAGTTCACTGATGTCATTGATGCTAAGGTCATAGACTTCCAATGTGGTAAGTCGTTGGACGGCCACTGGCAGTTCGGACAGTTCATTATTTTGTAATATCAGGCTTCTGAGCTGTGTCATTGACTGGAGTGGATTATCAGCCATGCTGTTTATATTGTTAAATGATAAGTTGAGGTTAGTTAGGTGAGAACAAGACTGCAGCATGTTCTCCTTTAAGGTGTAAATCTCACTACTGCTTACATTCAGAGTTCTAAGAGAAGGAATTTGGCATGCGACATCAGTGAGACCATCATCTATCCACTTTTTCATGTTATCCATCTGAAGCTCTTGAAGAGAGTAAGCAGTCTGCAGAATCGCTCTGTACACTTCAAAGCTATGAGAAGTTCCACTCATTTGCAGTCTCGTTAGGCTCTTTAAAAAGGTCTTGTTTGACACTTCCCACTCAATATCCTTGGACCAGCCTCGCAAGTCCAGAGACTGCAGATGAGGAAAAATGTCTCTTGTAATGCTGAACTTCTTCACTGAATCCAAACTTAGAGTGAGTAGGTTTGAGGTATTTACATGGAGGTCATCTGACTGAAACGAAGTAAAGTTGTTGTGAGTAATAATCAAATGTTGTAAAGTTGGAAGTTTAACAATGTAATCAATATGTGAAATTTGATGCAGATAATTATAGCTCAAATCTACTGAGTGTATGCTGACCAGGGGCTGAAAGGCCACAGGGGAGATAAATGAGATCTGGTTCCAGTCCAGAGACAGTGTCTCTAACTTGGAAAGACCCTGAAACATGTTTTCTGTCAGTTTTGCGAGCCTATTTATACTCAAGATGAGAACCTTTAACTCTACCAAGTCTGCAAAAGCTTCATCATCAATTTTTGAAATCCAATTTTTTTCCAAATTTAGAACTTCAAGCTTGAATAAACCTTCCAAATTCATCCTGGTAATATTTGAAATGTAGTTTGACTTGAGATTTAGCAATGCTGCATTTTTGGGAATGTCATCTGGAATAGCAGTGAGGTAACGCTCTGTGCAAGTGACTAACACATGAGATTTTTCTGTATAGATAATTGTGCAGTTTTTCAGTGAAAAAGCAAGTAAATGTTCACAATGAAAGAAACACAAAAGAAGTGAGAAAAGCAGCAGAGGCCAAACTCCTGTAGCTAGCATGTTGATCTTGGGAAGCAGTACTGTTTCCACTTAGAGATGGGATATTCTGTTGTTCAATACACCTGAGTCGGGCAGGATAAAAAATAAAATTGAAGGTATTAGTCTGATTACATTACCATGTCATCATTTTAGCACAGAATAAAACAACGTGAGATTTGCTGCAAATAGTGATGAAAAATTTGTGATTTTGATTTGTTGTTCCAGTAAACCTCTGAGACACACCTCTAATCGGTATGTCTCAGAGGTTTACTGGAACAACAAATCAGAATAGTGAACTGCTGGAATCCTGCTATACATTTAACTTCAGTGAAAGCTTCATCTAATCCAGAAGGTTACATGAAGAGGATACAAATTGAAACCCACCTAGACTAACATCAAAACAACTAGTAGCTCAGTGATACGCAAGTAACTGCTATCACAGCTAGAGAAGGATGAAGTAGAACACAAATGCTATGGCAAGGTGGAGCCAGGATTTAAAATCAGGAGTGAGATATAATTATCTCCACCCTTCAAGATCAGGTGGCAAGCCCCATAAACAACTGGTATGTTGACCTGAAAGAGAAGAT